TTGCCGGCATTGAGTATGCGTAGCGGTGGCTGTGTTTCCTGGAGAGCACATTACGTATTCGTAACAGTACGTAGCGTAAACTAACGTGATTCTCAATACCTGCTCAGCACAATGCAAGTAATTGTCTTCTACTTACATTACGTAAACATAACGTAACGCCACTCTCATTACCTGTTAACGGCAGAGAATAATTGGCCACGGCGTACACTGCGTATACATAACTTAACGTAATTCCCATTTGCTGCTGAGCACAAAGAATAATTGTCTGCTGCCTAGCGTGATGAAAACTGTCTACTTTTCGCATTTGCGCCTGAGCCTTGCGCTTACAGGTAATGTAAGCCTCCTTGAGTCCTGGCTGCTCACAGTTTGTCAATCACAACGTTAATTCTCTGGCCAGACTTGACGTATACGCAACACGAATCGCATTGTTCGCAGTGCACATTGTGTGCTCATCACGTCAAGTCTTATTTGCCACTGTTGCGTACACTCGATACTGGACTAATTATCTGTTGCGTGTACGTAACGTTAGCTTGTATACGTTACGCACGCCTACCACATAGCGTATACGCACCGTGTGTCCAATCGTCAACAGACTGCGTGGCATATGTATGGATGTAGGCCCAAGTATCCGTTGGCCACATGGCGCAGGTCTAATTAAATTTTATACGAACACTTGTTGGATTTAGCTGGCTGGGCCTAGCTGTGGCTGAGAGGGAGGCAATTGGGATTGATAGGCATCTGTGGCGCTTTAGCAGATCGACGGCAACAACAGAGGCCGCAGCAAAAGCAACGGCAGATTGATGCCTGCTGCATAATGTGAAAAATGGCAGCTGTGCTTAAATGCTTAACAAGGCAATTTGCGCGCGGTCTTCTGGCCATTGTTTCGGCTCAGTTCGCTCCGGTGGTGGAACGCAACGCGCAACGTCCGCGAGCGATGTTTGCTTGGCCGAAAGGTGGGCGCGGCTGACGTTATTAGCATGCCATCAGCAATGACGACGGCCCAGCAATTTATGCAAAACGTGCTCAAGTGCCGCACATCGCGTGAGTGCCGCCAACTAACGCCAACTAGCCCTCCCCCAAAGCACCATAAAGCACCCGAGCCCATAAACATAGGCGATCCCTCACGCCCACCGCGCACCACCGCACCGCGCACCACTTCCCGCCTAGCCAGCCGCTAACGGCTCATTATCAGCAGCATGAAAGCAATGTCTAAATTATATGTATATATGTATATGTTTATACATCATTTCTTTCTTTTTTTGGGGGAGCACGACTAGCCAAACTGCACTACATTCATCGTGAGTGTAGCCTTAAAGGTTTCGAATTCAGGTCAGCTGGCTGAAAGATACTTAAGGCCAAGAGCCAAAATATAAATGTTAAGGTCAACATGGCAACCAAATACAAAAAAAAAAAAAAGTAAAATAAAATAAAAATAAAAAGCAGAAAAAAACATCACAAATATTCACTTTTGTAATTGGATGCTGGCGTCTCTGACTGCCGACTGTGTCGCATACCTTTAGCATGTGCGTTTAAAACCACGGCTATCTCACTCCCCCAACACCCATGCCAGCGGCACCCAGAGCAACAAATAAAACAGGGCGATAGAACATAACGAAGTGTTTATACGCTTCTTGATGAACAGATTCCATGCAAACATGATTGAGAGATTAAAAAAACAATGAGCATAATTGCATTCATATAGATTTTAGAAAATAATACTGATTTAGGGACATTGTGGTTCAATGTGGGGATCATAAGGAGTATATAGACTGTATAGAGTACATAAATTATGTAGAGAATCTGCAGTAAATAGAGTATATCGAGTATATAGTGCCTATAGAGTATATAGAATATATAGATTATATAGAATTTATAGAGTATATGGACTATATATAGAGTATATAGAGTATATAGAGTATATAAAGTACATAAAGTATATAGAGACCATGGAATATATAGAGTATGTAGAATAGGTAAAATAGAGATTAGAGTACAGAATATGGATTATACATAGGTAGTATATACAGTGCATCGAGCATATGGATCCCAGACTTTACAAAATATTTCCATCAAACGATTTCTCGATCTTCTTCAAGAAAGATATATGCAAATTTTTATAAAAAATATCACTGTTATTCCCAAGACCATTCTTGTGGACTCTCTGACGCTACTCTTCAAAATGAGCTTTTCTTACACACGCCTTACTGATGAAATTGCAGTACCCTCCATTAGAGTAGTTACAAAAAAAAAGAAGTATATGTATAAAGCAAAAAGCAGGAAAAAAGCACCACAAATTGTATGTGTGCATGTTTTGTTGCTGCTACCGCACCCAATGGTTATTGTTGTTGTTGTTGTTGCTCTTGTTGCTGGCATACAGTCTGAGTGTTTGTGTGTGTGTGTGGGGTCTTCTTTATTTTTTCGCCCTGGCATGTCCCTTTCTCCTTACCATTGAAGCGCATTGTATTCTGTTTGTTTTATAGTTATTGCTTTTGTTTCGCCTTCGTCAGTGTTGCGTTCCGCCCAGTTCCCTGCTACCCACCGTCCGTCGTCCGTCTGCCGCCTCTACAACGAACGTATCAAGCCCTTGCAGAGCGCAACACATTTTATGCACATTTAATCTTATGACAGGCAAAATGTTGTAAAATTGTTTATGGCACTTTGTGACATGGTCAGTTTTTACCATTTTTCAGCATAAAAAAAAAACAAAATAAATAAAAAGACGTATGAAACAAAAAAGAGACTGAAGAAAAGTTTTATTTGCCCATATGCGAACAAGATTAGCGTGTAAATTTCAGGTGATCAACGCCTGAGCAGCTGAAATGGAAACCTCTTTGGCATACAAGAAAAGGTTTTTATATTGTACAACAGGTTATACATATAAGAAGAGTTTGTTAATAGAGATCTTGCAGCAATGTGAATAATTCAATATAAGGAAAGTTGGTGTGCGGTTGAACTCAGCAGGCGGTTTATTAGTGTATAATACGAGAGATTTCTACAAGGTATATAATTTACATAGGTTTTAATCTGAGATTAAAATTGATATATGTTAAAAAATGGTTTAGCGCTAAAAATTATATATATTCCCATATGTATACTGAAACTTTTCAGCATATAAAAATTATTTAATACTCAACTCAAACTCTTTTAATGACAGCATTCTCTAATTGCGCACTTTCGATTGGATTAATTATTCAAGAAGCTGCAAAGCTGCTTAAGCTCAATCGCTCTTCATAAAAATACATGCATATCCACATCAAAGCTTATCATTTGTTGACTCGTTCATAAGTCACACACATACAACAAATTTGTATCAAGACAACCATCTGCACGGCATATTCAGCTGCAGCTCTTTGGCCTAGCACTCAACCAAATACATTCTGCACATGTCTGGTTCGCCCAGAGATCTCATTTAGCACATGTTGCATTTAAGGACTTGCAACATAAATTGTGAAAAGCCAAGGCTTAAATAAATAAGAAATATACTATAGATAGTGCTCTAACCAGCTGTCTGAGCTGTAAGCCCAAGCAGCTATAAATCCTCTCAGCTTTTGCTGCACTGCCTCAAAGCGCTGGACCATTTCTTATTTATTTATATTGCTTGATGTTTGCAAGCAAACAAAAGTTCTGGTTTAACAAATTTTTGTCACATAAAAATTGACCATTTCAAAATATATTGAAAAAAATAAAACACACAAATAAAATAGAAAGCAGTTAAAAGCAGTTTGATCAGGTTTATTTTTAGCTACATAGATATTGCCTTCCCATCGAGCAGAAGTGAAAGTTAAATATTTTGCAAATAAAATTTTCGATATAAAAACGTTTTAGTCAAACTATGAAAACAAAATAATAAAATAAGTAAAAGTGTGAGCAGGCGGAAGTGGCCGACTGGGAAATACCCTGAACTTTGCAAAGTGCTGTTATGGCAATTATTGCAAGTTTGTCTTAGACACACATACGATACACGTTGCACTCACGCACACTCGTACACACACACACACACGCACATACGTACATATACACAAGCACGCGCGCTGCTTGCTGCGCAGCGACTGCATGCACTTGCCTGGCCTTTATTATGGTAAATTAATTGTTGAGCAACTTTTGTTGAACTTTCTTAAGAAACACTTTCAGAGCTTTACAATGGCCTTTTAATGTGTCTATTTGCCAAAGCTTAAGTTTCTACTAGCTGAAATGCAACCAAGTGGTATCTAAAATTCCATTTCCATTCCATTCATCATAGTAAAACACAGCCAATTTGATATCTGGATATCTAGCGATATCGATATTAATCGATATCAAGGAAATGGGACGATTTGTTGGCAAAATAAGTTAATAATGCGTATGGCATTACATTTACTATATAGATGCATAGAGTCTACAGATATAGATATATACATGTATGAAGAGATGAATAGACGGACATTTCTATATCTTAGCTCTGCTTATCATCCGGATCAGCATAGTCAGCATAGAGCGAATAGCATAGAGAATAATGAATCAAACAAACCTTTATCGTATATATATATATACTCAACTCATCTTCCTTATCCAGCATATATACCCCATTACAACAATAGATGTAGAGCAGAATATTTAAACAGAGAGATTTTGCTATATCAAGTCAATTCATCATCCCGATCTAGCATATATAAGTCGTTGGATCAATAGATAAAAACTCGAAGAAATAAAATTTGCTACATATATATATCATATATATATCAACTCAACTCTTAAGAAGAATAAATGAACAACTGGGCATTACCATATAGACTCAGCTCATCATCTCGATTCAGCCTAAAAACCTCTACAGCTTTAGCATGCCTCCCTCTGCCTGTTGCAAACATTTGCACATATTCGCTCTACCCCATAAACCCATTTGCAATGCGAGTAGAGTATAACTTTATAGATTTGTATCGATATACATATGTGTGCATGGATATAAAATTGCAGTTGTAATTTCCAGTTTTGTTTTATACGAAATGACTCGAGCTATAACTCACCTGCGGGCGAATGTGTTTAGTTTCTAGTTGGCAACCTGTTGGTTGCAGCTGCTGCTGCTGCCGTTCCTGCTGCTGCTGCTGTTGCTGTTGCTGTTGCTGCTGCCGTTGTCATCTGTTATTGGCAGACAATACAAATTTCTCACTCACTCAAGCAGTTGGCACGCCATTTAGTTTTCGTGTCAGTGCTGTGTCCAGCTTAATTTCATTTATATTTTAATCGAAATATATTTGGCCAAGCTGTCTGCTCATTTGGCTGAGCATGTTTCATCTATATAGCAGCGAGCGAGTCGTGCATATATGATATATATGTATATATGTCTCTCTGTCTGTCATCTATATATGCGCATGCATGTTTTTATTTTCTTATTTGCCTTCGTTTCGTATAAATTTGTGAGTGTGTGTGTGCGTGAAAATTATTATTAGTTATTTTGTTGTTTAGCGCTTTTCGTGCTTTCTTGGTCTGCAGACACAATTTTTATTTTCAATTTTCTCTCTTTTTGTTGTTTGAAAATTCGTTGGAAAAGTCAAGCGCCGCAATTTTCCTTTCTTTCTTTCTTTTTTTTTATTACGTTAATTTATGATTGGAATTCTGTTTGCCAGTTAGCGCTAAAGATTTATAAACATATATGCTCTAATAGATATCTACCTATATGTATATGTATGCTTGTGCTAAATGTATGTACGAAGCTGCATCTAGAAAAATATTTTCATATATATATGTATGCATTTATATATGTATATATATATGTAGTAGAGTTATAGTTATAGTTGTAGTTGCTTCCTGTGTTTTTTTTTCTTGCGGTTTGCTTGGTCTGCCGTTTAGAGTTAAGAGTTAAGAGCTAAGTTTAAAGTTGAGTTCGCTGCGCCTGTCAGTTGACGTCAGGAAATGAAAGAAATTCGCTTGGTTGCTGTTGGTTGCTCTGTCAAGTTTGTTCAGGTTTTTGCTGCGTCCATTTTCGAAATCGTTTTGAAACCGGAGAGAGAGCACGCGCGCGCGCGCTAACACGACACTTGAAACGGGACTTCAAATGGCTTGATTGCATTAATTATTCAGCTCGAAAAAAGGGTTGTACGTAATCTATACATATGTATATATATATATATGTATATACAAGTGTTTATTTGTATTTTTATTACTTTTGTTTTTGGTTTTTGGTGGGGTCACGAAAGCCGCGTCAAAACTTCACGAAACGTCAACGCTGCGCGCGCGTTAATAAAATTCTAAAGCATACTTTTTAGCTATGCTGCACTTTGATAGCCATCAACACACACTTGTAGTTGCACTTGCACTCGCACAAACACACAGACACACAGACACACGAACACGCTCACGCACACGCACACACAGTTAGGTACTTGTTGTTTCAGCGGCAATGGGCAATGCCTTCAGGCTTTTGGCTTTATTCTCTTTTGGTCGTTTGGTCTTAATGTGGTCTTTATGCCGTGGCGCCCTTGCGGCCAACATCACGTCCAGCTAACGACTGAGACACACGCTGCGTATACGCAACGCCGTTCACTGTTCGCTGCCGTTCGACACTGTCGCTATTTTCGGAGTAAATTCACTGCGCACGCGCTGGGAGCACCTGCCAGAGGCCAACAACAATTTCATAGAGCAGCAGACGAAAGAGCAAACAATCAGCCAAACAGAATCAAGCAAGTGGTTTGCATTTGGGCCATTGGCCCTAGACGAAAACATGCCCAAAACATATGTGTGCGCGTGTGTGTGTGTGTGTGTGTGTGTGTGTTTGTGTGTCCAAATTAATGGTTAGCCTAATCTAAATATATTGAACAGCGATCTCCATAATCGAAGCATTGCTTGTGCATCGACTAATAAGCCAATTTGACCAAATGAGCAGCAGCTATACGAATGTGTGTGTGTGTGTGTGCGTGTGACAGCATAAGTTAATGTATGTATAAGCATTTAATTACCTAGCAACTGGGCTGGCATAACACAAAACATACGCATCAATTGCCAGGCCCCATGCAATGCAGTACCGTATAATTAAATCTAAATGAAAACCAACTTGACAATTCTTGTCAGCTAAATTGCTAAGCAAGGAAAATCGATGCAATCGAAGGAGCTGCAGGATATACAAACAGCAACAACAACTACAACAACAACAGCAGTAATAGCGGCATTTAGCAGGAGCTGGGGCTCTGGCGATTATCTTGCTTGGGTAAGTGAGAAAAAGTTTTTAATTAAAATTCACACGCAATATGTTGCGCATACGCAACGTTGTACCCGCAGATTAAACACCCCGCCCCGCAACTCTGTCCGTCCGTCCGTCCGTCCACCCTGTCGCAACTCATTAGCGTTCAAATTGTGCGCGTATCATGTAATTTAGATTAGCTGGAAATTGAAAATGTAAAGCGATTGCGGTTTTTTCGGTTTCGCTATGCTGGCAAGCCAGCTTCAATCTGTTACCCGGCGAAAAGCTGCGCTCCTCACCTTCAGAATCCACGGAAGTCACCGGGTGACCCCAAACTATTTGCCAAAGTTATCGCAACTCTGGTAACCTTGGCCACCAGCTCTGGCATCACTTAACCCCACTTGTCGCTTGACATTGCCAAAGTTCTTAAAGTGCTGGAGTTCAATTATTTCAACAAGTTAAGCTATTGTTTAGCTATCTCTCTCTCTCTCTCGCTCTGGCTACCTTGCTTCTGGTCTGGCAACGCTTCAGCCCGTTTCGGTTGACATTATAAAAACTTGTTAAATGCCCAACGATTAAATTATTACAACAGAAACAACAAGTGAAGCATATTGTGATTACTAACCGCCCGCCCACTCTAGTTGCTCTTATAAATATTAATGAATCCAAAGTGTCCGAGCAAATGAATTCATTTCACACGCTGCCCAACGTTCCACAGGCAGATACATTCATCAAGTAAATTAAGTTTGCGCGCTTGGCCAGCTAACAACAACAAGAATATCAGAAAAAACAAGTTGGGAAAAAAAAAATAATGAAGGTAAAAGTGCCTGACTAGAAGATGCCCTGAAGAGAAGAAGACGAAAGTCAAATCGAATGAGGAGCTTCTTATTTTATAGAAATTGAATACATAGAGATGACAACTGATCGTTAGAGTCGCTGGAATTTGATTTTTGGGATAGATCGATGAATCAATATTGTATTCAATGTTGACATATGTATCGTCTCATTGACGTGTAACTGAAATGGTTAGACGTAGCCATTTAGCTAAAACACCAAAGCTTAAACAGTTTGTGCTTGTTAATATAAATAGATTGAAGGGAAAGAACTTGAGCTAGATCAGCTGAGATTAAAGTGTAATTCAAATGAGCTAGAAGTCATGCAGTTAAATAGTTGTTCATCTATGACTGACAAATTTAATCGTTAGCTAACGCGGGCTAAGCACTTACCAAGACTAGATGTACTCAAACAAAATCAGTGGTTAGATTTTTTATGATCTATTAGTAAGCTCCTAACTGATTCGTTATGTTCGATTACAATTATTCCTTCCAATTGTAACACACAGCTACAGAAAACAAGCATACCCTCTTATTTCAGTACCACCGTATAATTAAGAGAGAAAAAACGTAGAGCTTTATTATGAATTCACCCATTTTTTATGCCTTTTGCTCTCTGTCTCTCTGGGGACTGTCTAGGTGCAGTCACTACTTGACATGTTGTCAGGCGTGAAAGAACTTACTGAAGCGAAACTAACTTGGGGATTTAAATACTAATTGATGAAGAAACTTAATAACTTGACGAATGCCCCAAGTTGTCGCAATTAGCTTAAATATTTTGAATTATAAAAGAAATGAATGATAAAAATGTAACAAAAACCAATTTAGTTTTTGTTTTCTTTGCAAGAAAGTTTCATAGGCCCTGCTTTGCCAAATTGCAAACACTAACACAACAGGCTTAAACTGAGAGGAAAATTGCAAAGGTGCAAGTGTCCTTTAAGCCCCGAACATCACTCGCAACCTGTCAGCATACATCGATCAGAGCACAACAGCAGCTGCTGGCTAAATAATTGGTATGCTTTAGACGACATCTGAAAAGCCCCTCACAGAGTGCAGACATTACGCATTGCGTACTTGTTGCTAATAAAGCAGGCAACAAGACGGCAGCCGAATGGCAGACACAATTCCCATTTGACTGACGAGAAGAGCCATACATCAGGCTCATTGGGAATGCAGCAGAGCAGAGCGTATACACGGGCCACGATGAGAACTAACACTCTCTCCGATAGTCAATAATTGAAGAGTTCTGATTTCAATGCGCTCGTTACTTTCAAGCAAAAGGCGAAAAAAAAGTCTCTGCAATCGCTGCAGGGGCTTACGTAGAGCAATTTCGCCTCGTTGCCAAGGTGAAATGTCAGACAAACACACGCACGCACACATACACACACACATACACGCATTGGCTCTCAACTTTGGCGAGCTTTAAAAGTAAAATAACATTAACAAAAAAGAAAAAGAGAAAAAAGTTGAGGCTCAACTAACTTTTGCACACATAAATTGTCTTTTAATTGCCGGCAAAGTAATATGTAAGTAGTTGAAGAGTGCGGCACGTATTGGCACTTGCCAAAGAGTCTGGCAGTCCGGGCTAGTCGTGGCCCATAATGGCCAAAGCACTGCTAAATGAATTGCAAAAGCGCGTTAATTGGCCCAAAAACTGCACTTCAAAGAGTCAGCCGAGTGGAGCCTGTTCAGCCAACTGGAGCACGCGATTTGCCAAAATGTTTAATTAAGCCACCAATTAGGGTTGCCACGCGCTGCGAAATATGCTACGTGTCCCTTATTATACACGCTCGTGTAATCAAATGGGGTATATTGGCTTTTCTGTAATATTCGTTACCATTTGAATTTTGGATATACTCTATTATATGCATGAATATATTTTAATTAGGCCACCAATCAGGGTTGCCACGTGTTGAAAAACATTCTGTGTGTTTCCTTTTATACACATTCGTGTACTGAAGAGAGAGTATATTGGTTTCTCTAAAGTGTTTCTATGACAAATTTAGATAGTGGATAGTAGATAGCACTAGATAGTAGAACCAGGTTAATAGATTATCCCATAATTTGAAAAGAGATTCGGTAATCTGAAGTTTCTTTTCTTCTGCAAATAATTCCTATAATTCTATAATCCTGCCATGACAGATTTTTTTCTAAGAAATAATTCCCATAATTACATAGCCCTCCCACGTCAAATTAGATATCCTTGAACACGCATTGAGCAGTCGGTGCTACGTTTACCCTTACCTTACCTTACCTTACTCTCCTTTTTTCTTTCGCTTTCAAGCGAATTTGCTGATGAGTTATTAAAACCTCAATTAAATCGCAATCATCGACTCAGTCCATATGCCAGGTACACAAGTCACTCAGTCAGTTAGTCAGTTCATCAATCATTCATTATTAATGGAATTAAGGTAATTGGTGAAATTTCATTTTTCTTTCATTTTTTTGGTCGGTTTTATTTTTGGCCAACAAAGCATCGATTTGTTGTACCTAGTTACGGGGCCACAAGGTCAGCACTAAAATCAGGTCTAATGACGTGCTAAAGCTCCAATAAGATATCTATCTATACCTGTATGCATACATACATACATTTGTCTCGTTTTATTGATTTTGAACAGAGAAAGGCAAACAGGAAACGCAAGAGCCAAGTCTAGAGATGGCTAATGTGAATGACAATTTCAATTTAACAATTTGCATGCTAATGTCATGCGGCTAACTTTATGCCATTGGCTCCATTTAACTGTCAACACTAACAATACCACACTCACACACACACACATACACGCAGAGAGCTATCCTTGTGTATGTGCGTGCCTTGTTTGTTGTTTGACAAATGTGTTGCCTTTCAGCCGTTGAGTTGGGTACGTGAGCGACTCTTTGTATAGCAACTGTATTTACATTTCCAAAATATATCTTCAATGGATTTAGAAATTAATTAAATCAAACAGATACACACTGAAAGCTGAAAGAGTGCATAAATTATGTAAATGACGAAATGTAAAAGGTAGCAAAGGTAGACCAATAATTGAATGTAGCATATCCTAATATATTTTATAATACAAAGCCAAGATATATAGAGGACATATACAAAGCAGAGCAGCTACGATAACAACAGCAACTGCTGGCTTTCAATAAAAACAAAAGTGCAAAGCAAAACGAACGCTAAACAAAGAAATATGAGTCAGCTTGAGTGGCATCAAAAGTTTTGATTGCTCTGCAACAGAACGCAGCTATTTGCCTTTGCAGCACAAAGCAAAAGCAACAGCAAAAAGGCGCATTGCAAGGAATTCAAATAAACTGCAATTTTTATTTCAGCATAAAACTTACCTACACAGAGCATTTAATGTTAGAATGGATTGCAGATATAATTTAATAGCCATACAGTTCAGACTCTAGGATAAGGCAAGGAAAAGTTAAAGTAACTCAACTTTTAGTTTAAAGCCAATCTAACTTATATACCTATAGAACAAACTGACTTTAATATATGCACATATATATGTGCAGAAGCCAACTTCCTCCAATCGCCTCTAAGGTCACTCATGCATCAGCGGCTGCTCAAAAACATTTAAGCTTCACACGAAAACTAATATCAACTTTACAAGTTAACTCTAACACTTACTCACGCGCTCATCTCTAACAAACACCAGAAGCACCCACGCATCGCACAGGCTTTGCGTGCGTAGTGTTTGTGTTTTAGTATTAGCGCCGGCGGCACTGAATTTTCGATTAGCCAGAGATAAGGGCAAACAATTACTCAGTCCAGTACAAGTTTTATTATGTGTGTTCATTAAATTATGAGACAAAAGCGAAAACTAACAAAAGCCATAAGCCACAGCAACATTATAATTTCATTTAACTGGCATTCAAAATGGTATTATCATAATATATTTATGTATATTATTATTATTTGTATTATAATGTTTTGATATGCGCTAGACTCCGGGCTGCACAGGCACGAACCTTGATGCCTTAGTAGACGACAAATTGGCAATTCGATAGACTCCAGGAATGGCCAACAATCGATATACTTCAATGTGAATGACAATTAGTCGTCGACAGATAAGCAATTTGCAGTCGAATGTCGACTAATTGCGGCACATGCCACAACGTGACTCTTTCGCTCTTGCCACTTCCCAAAGTTAAATTGTGATGAATCTCTCACTTTACTCTGCCATTTACTTTGGATCCAAGCTGTGCGTCCTATCCTGCCTGTTTGTCTGTCTCTTTGTCTCTCTGTCAGTTGTTGCTGCAGCTGTCGTACGTGCCACCCCAACTAAATAACTACGTATGTATGTGCAATACATATAGAAAGATGCTTGAAGTAGGCATTCATTATACACTAACTGTGGAAGAGTATTGGAGCTATGTAAAGCAGCAGAAGTTAAAAGCAGCTCATAAGGCAGCTCTCGAATTCAAACCAGCTTATCATTTCATTATTTAATTTATCGTAATATAATAAGAACTTCATTTGTATACAAAATATAATCTCTCTGCCAACCTAACAAAAGCAAGGGACGAAAAAGAGCTGCTGAAGATCATTCAAGTTCTCTCTACGTAAGCAACAGAATTAATTTGCTACATATGTATATTTGAGTAAAGTGAAGTTAGAATGCTTGAAGAGGCAGAGAGAGTTCCCATTGGTCACTTAAAGCTCGGAGGCAACGATGACCACCTCACTCTCAACATTTGAGACAAGCCAGGGACGAATAAGAACTACAGCAGATCATTCAAGTTCTCTCTATGTATACATAGTTGAGTAATACAAAGCTAGAATGCTCGCAGCAGCAGAGAGTGCTCCCATTGGTCACTTACAGCCTGACTGCAACGATCTCTACCTGGCGTCGGGCTCAACATTTGAGTGTGCTCTAGGCATTGAGTGAAGGTCGCCCTATATAAAGGGCAGCAGCTGCAGCATTTCTTCAGTCGTCCAGGCCTGTTGGGGGTCAGTCAGTGCTGTAAAGTTAAATAAAATGAAGTGGACTGAGCTGAGATCGGGAAATAATTGGAGGCAGTACTTGGAGGAAATATTTAGAGGAAATATTTATAGGAAATATTTAGAGGAAATATTTTGAGGGAATGTTTAGAGGAAATACTTGGAGGAAATACTGAGAGGTAATAATAAGAGGGACTTCTAAGAGGAACTACTAAGAGGATATATTAAGAGAAAATAGTAAAAGAAAATACTAAGAGGAAATATTTAAAGGAAATATTTAAAGGAAATATTTAAAGAAATAATAAGAGAAAATACTGAGAGGAAATTCTAATACTTGGAGGAATTCTCAGAACAAACAATTCTTTCGCAGTCCAACCTAATCTAGTTTTACGTTACGTTAATAAATATAAATCAAGCCATAGAAATTTTAATTTAAATAACAATGCCTTACAAATCTTGCTAGAACTTAACTGAATATCATTTAGCAGCCTTAGGTGATAAGCATAATCCCATTTAAGAACTGAAAGAACATCTAACATTCGTCAAGCCATATACAAGTTTCAGGTTTGCTTGTTTTGCCGAGAGTTTTGCAACTGAACAACGGCAGCTGTCTAATGCTTAAGCGAAGGTCGCGGAACAGTAAGTAAATCCTTAAAAGTGATGTAGCAACAGCAACGGCAGCGACAACGACAACAGCAACACGAGCAGGAGCAGGAGCAGGAGTAACAGCAGCAGCAGCGGGCGAAACAACGGGAGCTGACGTAAATAATAATGTGCTGAAAATCTCGTCTAATGAAGTGAAAATAGAAAAATATCTAAGTACGCACTCGGCCAAGTGAATGTGCAGCTATGGGCCAGGTTCAAGGTTAAAGGCGCGAGCAGCAACTCGACTCGTGTGCTGCCCCAGCGCGTCTAAAGTTTCAAAAGCATGCCAAAAGAAATAATCCAACACAAAAACAAAAGCATAAAACACGCGAATGCGTGTCAAAAACGGAGAACTGAAAATGGCGCCCAAAACTCTTAGAGAGCCGGGTGTAGGGGGGAGTGGCAGAAAGGATACACGCAAGGACTCTTAAAGCAGGCCAAAGGAATGCGCCAGCCACTGAAGTCACTGAAGCTTACGCTTCTACTCTTGCGCTGGCATTGTGGCCCGCGGGTCAACAAGACGCTGAAAAAAAGGGAAATCCCACAGCCAGAAGCCAAAGCAAGCCACAGCAAAAAAAAAAGGGGCAAATCAAAGCAGGGACTTGAAAGCTGCATTCGATTGAAATTTAATTAAGGCATAAGGCCTGCAGCTGTCGCTTTTCATTAAACTAGAAGCACTCAATTGTATAAAGTATGTATGGCTACATATATACATATGTGTATATGTATGTACATGTATTTAATGAGCTATTCATGAGCTGGCCATTGACATGCGAACATAATTCGAGCGTAATTATATTCCCAATAACAATTGCGGTGGCCAATGATCAATTTCAAATTGCCACAGTTTGCATTTGGCAATCAGCAATGTCTCTCTCTCTCTCTCACACACTCTACACTCTATATGGAATGGAATATACATATATAACAGTTATTCATTTGCCTGCATTTCAATGGCAATGCAAACATCGACCACATCTCCAGTTGACCTACGCAGCCACATAGAATTTCCATTCCTAATGACAGAATGCCAACTTGTGTTTGCTATTATAACATACATCCATCTCGCTCTCTCTCTCTCTCTCTATCTATGTGTCTCTTTCTCCCGCTCCTACTTTGTGGCTCCTGTGTTGACTTAAAGTTTGCTTATTTTTTGGTGGCTTTCGACCTTTTGGGGCCAATTAAGTGAATTATTCAACGTACTGCTGTAGCGTATTTAAATCACAAATCCTTATGCCGAGCAGCGCCTGAAAATGTTCGTCTTAAGCTGCATTGCAGCTTTTGGCTAAGCGCTTAACGCCAAGCAGTTGCCAGAGCTAGCCGCAAAACTGCTCTCTGCTGTGGCAAGGCCAACAAAAATAGCAAACATACCAAATTACGTTAGACTATGGGAGCTGATTCAAAGATACCCTGTAAAATGGGCTACGACAGAGATTAAAATTTTTTTTATATGATTTTTCACAATAAATTTATCGAGTTTATAGTTATTTAACTATAAGTATTATAATGATAAATACATTTATAATTTATGATATTATATTATGACATACTCATATATTATTGGGTAAAACCCTATTCATATGCATAATATAAAAAATTCTAGATATATCTAAAATGTTTATAATTTGTATAAAAAATAAATTTAAAAAAAATCATATAAATAATAATTAAATAAATTTATTTACAAGAATACTAGAAAACTAAATACATACTAAAATTTCTTCTTGAAAAATATCCTTATCAAAATGTAAGCAAAACTTTTATTTCAATTAGTAGCGCTACTCTACCATGTCTTCCCTATCTAAATATTGAATATAGTAGCTTAACTAAATCTCATAACATATCTATTTATATAATTCTGTTTAAGAATTCGCCCACCATATACCTTAATTCTACATTTTATGCCATCTCATAAACCCCATTGCTTATAAACGCCCACCAAATCTCTCGTGACTACAGACAATACCCATTCGAGCCCCCGTAGGCTACGTTAGCACATTTTGTTAACGTTAATAAGTTTTATACGTTTGTAATTATTTCTATTTTTGGGGGCTGCATCGTATTGCCTGTTTATTGCTTAGCTACCCGTTCGATATGGAGTTTTATGTTCGGTATGCGAATAACTGCAGCAAGGTCACGTTCTTGGTTTAGTTAAACATTTCGATACCATTCACGTTTCATCAAAATTGAATATGCTTATTTATTTATGCGGCTCTTTTAATATGCAGCACAGCCATTTCAATGGAATTGAATAGCACGTCAGGCAGACGAACAGACAGACAGACAGACAGACAGCCAGCCGGAGACTGTGCGACAGTTGAAACAGTTTGATGGCAGCCGAGGATCGTTGTGAAAGCGGATTATACAAGAACATTATGCATGAGGCATATGCCGAAATGTTTCTGTTGCCGGTTCAATTAACAAATAAACAGCCAGGCTCAAAACGGTTTCATTTCGTGAATATTACAGTTACGTATCATTAGCAGCTATTTGGTAAACTGCACAACTATTTAGAGTGTGTTCCAGAAGTGGAAAACTCCATTTGAGAATGAAGTGTAGCGGCGAAGACTATTTGCTATATATTATTGTGAGTAAAGTCTAGGAAAACTTATATAAACAAATTTAAGGTCGGATTAATCAGAACTTCCAGAAGTTCCAGAAGCTGAAAACTCCTCTTGGAAACTTGAAAAACTCCTGTTCAGTAAAAGATGTTATCCAAAGAGTCTTAAAATCCATATATACATTCTAATGTCTTCCAGAAGTGAAAAACTCCTCAGAGTAAAAGGTTTTTCCGTATAAACATTCTTTCTTTAATAGGTATGCTCTATATATTTAGCATTGTAAAAACTCTTTAATACATTAAGATCTGGTTATAATACATAAAATATTTCTGTTTAAGCTTTCTCCCATTAAACTCAAATACTGGGGCTCACATAGCTTCCTTCTGTCTCTTACATATGAATAAAATATTTGGACTTTAGAAATATTGCAAACCCCGAAAACCCGCCCGTAGGCGTTATCAGGCAAATAGAGGAGTTTTTGAGTGCGGACCTCAACTGAAAGTTATGTTTGCATAGCTCCACATGGGTCTTAACAGGCCAAAGTACACAACGTGTGTAGTCGTATGCCTCTATACACAAATACACATGCATGCATACATATACACATATACAGGTATATCTATTGGTATAGGTATACATTTTATCTATTCAGGCGCTTACGTCACGCCATGTAACGCCTTTTGCTGGCTGCAGTTGAAATGTAAATCGAACTTCCATTCGGCAAGGACACAAACGTCGGCGGCAAAAAAAAAAGGAGAGAAGAAGAAGAGAAGCGAAAAGCAAGGAAAAGCCAGCAATCAAGTGGAAAGCGTGTACATTTTAGAATGGGTTTTCGGGCCGAAGGTTTCTGTGGAGTGTGGGTTGTGGGCTGCGTGTTGGTCTTGGGGTCCCGGACTAGGTTATATTTAATTCATTGACGCTCTACTTCAACGTCAGTGCCCCCCGCATAGCATACAGTTGCTGCTTTCTAGGCAAGGCACGACGACAACAACGACAACAACGACAACGACAACGTCGAGCTGTCTGCTAAAGTTAACTTGGGCTTGGGGCCTGGGCCATGGTGCCTCTTGCCCAAGTCTTGGGCTATTACATATTTACATTTTTGATGGCTTCTTTACTACGCTGCGGCTGGTAAATGTTGTCTTTCATAGATATAGATATAGCTATACATATATAAATATATATGTATATATATATACATTTTTTGGGTTTCTTAAACAAGAAGCAGACGAAGTAGTTCAAGCATTTCCGCTTTGCTTTTTCGCCATCTCAATTAGCTGGCTGACAGGACAACGAACGGAAATTGTTTGCTATTTGCATGATAAATAAGAAAACTGTTACCTTAATTGCTGGCGCCTGTCCCACTCGCTGTTCCGCCGTGCCGTTTGCTGTCGCCTTTAAGACAGCCTCAAAACAATTGCAACAAGTGCAGGAAACGGAGAAAATAGTGCAGACACAATCAATATGAAAGGCGACGCCGGTGCCAACAGAGCCAAAAGTGCAATTGCGAAAACGCGGCACAAGTGCTCGAGCCACGCCCAAAAACTTGGCGATAATCGTGGCGAAGGCATTTCGAAAATTTTCCATAAATCCACTTGGACTGCAATGGAAAATATGGTAAATATACATAAAACGCACGCGACACACACACAGAACGAACCCTTTGGACCCATTGTTTGGCTTGAGGTTTTTCGGGGTGGAGGCGGGGCATTGGCACAATGGCAATCGATGAGGGCATGGCAAAAGGAATTTATAATGGTGCAATGACTTATGGCGCAGTTGCTGCAGCGACAAATAAAAACCAATAAAAATGTATGACCGCATACAAAAGGAGAGAGAGAGAGAGAGAGAGAGAGAGAGAGAGTGAGAGTGTGTGTGAGGGAGAGCGAGAGCGCTGAGGTAGGCGCCATAAAAGCAGCCGCTGTCAAAGCTTAAAGCACAGCGAAAACACATTTGTCAAATATTCGACATCTACAACGCAAAGATTTCATTGTGTGTGTATATATATATGTATATAGGACATCTTCTTGTCAACCAGTTAAGATATGATAACATATGCTAAGTAATTTAATGTTGCATAAATCACGTGAAATTGAAGCAGGATTTTCGCGAGAAATTTCAAATTCAAGTTGACAATTTGCCGCTGCCTGGCAACAGGTGTATGTAAGACATAAAAGACATAATATAACAGACACTTCAATTTATTTATATACACAGATGTATGTATATATGTATATATTGTTGCTTTATTCCGTCAAACATCATTAAGGCACACAACTGAAGCAAACATCTGATGGCAACTTGACTTAGCTTAATATTTACTTATTTCCTATAGAGACTATACAATTTCTATATCATTTGCTGAGCAGATCTTGCATTATAATTGCCCTATGAATTCTATATAATTTTTGCACAACTGTTAATACTTTATCCGCTTAAAATTTCAACACAGACAACTTTTTAAATATATTTAAGCAACCAAATGTTCGGGAGTTACCGACTGCAAAATACTCTTTAATGTGCTAAAAAAAAACTGAATTGAATATATATTTCATTTATTTTATACTATTAACTTACAAAAGACAAAAAGTAATCTGTGTCTGAAATTAACGATCACATTCACTGGAATTATAAGTGGAACGACTGTTCTCTAAATAAGAAATGATTGTGTCTTGGGATTCGAGAGAAACCATTGCAAAGCTGGTAAGAAAACTGATTCTTTCAGATAAGAAATTGAGCAAAAAATACGTGGATCAGTGAAGCTCATGCAGTATTAACAGTTGTATAAGATATCATATAATGATAAACAGCCCCATTTCAAACCCATCATTGCACCAGCTCAAATATATACCCCATTAGCTTGCTGAACGAAAAACTTTATACAAGTTTTTTAGTTTAATGAAAAGTTTCGTTGGCTCTTCACACTCGCTTGGTGAGTCGACAAAAAAGTAATGTAAGGAAAAAAACAAAATTATTTATGACCTTGGCCGCATCAGTTTTCATGCCCATTTTTAGCACTCTTAAAAGCCGAACGACAGCAATAAATAATTGAACCAAAAAAAAAAAAAAGAAAAGCTGTTCCACCTCCATGTAGGTAGGCCGTTCCTGCCGCCCCCGTATTTCGATATGGTTACACTTACGGCTATAATTGTCAGGTGTAGCCGCTTCACTTCCTGCAATTTCCGCCGCCGTTTGCCGAGCCGCAAAAACAAAAATTAATGCGGCATACTTTGGCCATGGCCATAAAAACTTTTGCCCAGCCATTGTATAAATAAAAGATATTTTTATAACGTTATCGATGCCCAGAGAGGACAGAAAACAGGAGGAAAAAATAAAAAAACACGCTTTGGCCATTAAGAGCTTAAACTATCAATCAGCAAAGCGGCTCAAAAGTTTAGGCCAAAAATTCAAAGCCGAGCAGCGAATTGAATTAGAAGCGCGCTCGAAAGATAACAACAAAGAGAGATTGAAAAAAAAAATAAATATAATAAAATAAAATAATAAAAAAAATATAAAGTATTCGTAAGCAAAAGATTAGGAAAAGCTGTTGAAAGGCTCCTTCAGAGCGGAGCATAAATTGTATGGAATATAGATAGATATAGATATAGATATATAGATATATAGATATATAGATATATAGATATATAGATATATAGAT